ATTAACTTTCTTGAGAAGATCCTTGTAGCCCCAAAAGACTGTTTCTGGATCTGAACCAACCCATCACCACCTTAGACTCCCCCTCAACTATTAAGTTCATCACTCCAAGTTGGTTAGGAACCTGTATTCCTTGTACCGTTGCCAGTATCTCAGCCCTTGTAGAGTCACCAACTCCCACTAGACCCAAAAATAAGGATAGGATGTTGCTATCCTTATCTCTCAAAATCCTTCCTATACCTGAGGGCCTTGGATTACCTTGACTGCTCTCGTCTAAGTTCAGCTTTACCACTCTCTCTGGAGGGGGTCTCCATTCTACTTGTAATCTATTCTTTTTGAAGGCTGTAGATGCCACTTCTGCCCAACTTCTCTAAAGATTATCAAAAGAATAATTCACAAAAAGGTTGGAACTTTCAACCAAAAAATTGTCCTTGTCCATATGCACTCTTTTACTTCAGCAAGGTTCTTTACTTTTCTTGGAATATTTTGGCATTCTTCTCCTCCCAAATGGTCCACGAAATAGCTGCTTCGATACACTTCTACATTAGTTTCCCTCTCTTTGTTGGCTGCCCAAAGGTAGATGGATCAAGAAGCAGATTTTGAAGAAGGTGTGAAAATTTGAGAGAAAAATGAATTGATTGTATTGTCTTGGAAGGAGCACATACACAACTTTATATAGAATTACAAAGCTAATTTACAGGGTGTTAAAATAGGAAACTAACTTTTCCTAAAAAACTAATTTCTATATCAGTGGGATTCTCCAATTAATATCCCATGATTCTAGGATATCCCATGATTCTAGGAAATTAAGTTTCCTAAACTGATGGACCTAAAATTATGGAGAATCAATCAGAGAGTCAAACTTCTACTTTCCAACAGAAGGTAAATTATTGTATTGTAGAGACTCATTATGATGGAATTAGTATTGTCAAAATCTTTTGATTTACGATATGACTCACAATTTAAATCATGAATCCCAAGTGTTACAATTGAAATCTTATCTTTGAATAATTTTCTACAAAAATTTGTTCCTATGGTTTGATTCATAAGTATTATGATTTATACAATTCTTGCAGTTCATTGTGGTTCAAATCAATTCTATTAAGAATTAGTTCTCTACTTTGTCATTTTGTTTTGTTTATATTTAGTTTTGTCAAGGGCCTTGTTTTAAAGGCCTTAGTAGAAATTGATTTGTTTATGTTATTTAGGATCATATATCACCATTATATGTGGATTGTTTGACTTTTAAGTCAAACTTAATAATATCCTCTTAGACTTCTATTGCAAAAGTGGCAAATTATATTGTTTTAGTCACTATATGGTAGATATGGATCGAAAATTCAGTAGAATCTCTTTTGTACATATATTTAGCCTTTTAGCATTACTATATTTAATTTTTTGGCAAGTTTGTAAGAAATAGAAATAATCTTACAATTTATGATACGATTCACGATTCAATTTTCTCTACTATTTTTCAATACAATCATACAATTATGATTTTCAAAACATTGGATGGAATTCCCTTAATACCTTCATTGAATCGTCTTTCAAGAAGTGCCAACACTTTTTATAAAGAGTCGTAGTGAAGCCATTTGACCAAAGGTGCTTTGTCCCCCTTTGGTTCCCCAATTGCATTCAGGACTTCTTCCTTGGAAAATACCTCCTTGAATTTCCTGGCTTACATGGAAGACAACCATCAATGGCCAACCTATCCAATTTAGTTTGTGCTCTCACCTTTCTGTGTACAAATCTGCATAATTGCTTGTTATAGGCTCTTTGATCCTCCCTTCCTCCTAGATTTCCTCCCCGTCCACCACTAGACTCTTGATATGTTTCTCCCTCCTCCCATTAGCCATCTTGTGGAAAAAGATGTATTGGTGTCACCCTATTGTTTGAGTCATAGACACCTTAATCTTTGGCTCCATTTGATTTCTTCCTGCTAAATCATCATGTCAAAATCCTTATTGTCTATTGCCCTTCTATGCCTATCTACAGCTAAGATGGACCTTGTTCCTCCACCTAAGTCTTTAAGTTCTCTTCTAGTCTTGCCAGTCTCTTCCCAAATACATAGCTAGCTGAACCCTCCACTTGACACCTCAACCACCACTACTGTAAGAGGTCCATAAAACCATCTTCCAATCAACAATGTTCAAACTGAAAAGGACATTTTACAACTATGCCTCCATGGTCCAACAACACAGGTGTCGGTGTTGGTGGAAATATTAGTCATTGAAATATAGTAAACATGTTGGAAATGTCGTATGGAAATAATGTAAAATTCATAGACATGGTGGAAGCTTTGCGAAATATGTGAATCTAAAATAATATTTTATGGAATGATAAACGAAGCATAGGTACACCCTTTTAAATTATTGTTTTGTTCCCAACTATCAAACAAAGCTACAGTTAGTAGACAAAATAATATATTGCGAAGTTCCCTTGTACAGTACATAATTGTGATTTTAAAGCAAAACTTAGACTCATAGAAAATACAAATGATTCTAATAGATTAACCTAATAATCATTTACATAAACAAATTCTAGGACTTTTAATTGAAAAGGATTTCAAGCTTGGCTCAAAGTGGTACTCATGCCCATTAGACATCAATAATACCTCTATACATGCATAATATTATCACCAACTTATGTTATAATACCATCTCTTGTATTTCACATTGTGTCGACAGTTTTTACCAGGGAATATGTTGATTCTAGTAATATTTTGTGTTGATACCCATGGAAATGGAAACATGTCATGGAAATATTAGGAAATTTATGGACATTTTAAACATGGGTAAAGCTTCTTGAGCCACATTTGGAAACCTGTCCTCCCACTTAGGAGGCACCTAATCTGTCCAACTGCCTCAAAATAGGCTTCGTCTGATTGTTGGACCAGTATACTTTCCCCCAACAAAGGCAAGTCCAGTGATTTAAAAGGCATGAGTAGGTGTGCAGACAAGGTGCATTTTAACACCTGTACCATACCTAGGCCCAGGTATAGCTTGTTTGAAAAGGTGGGCACCTAGTGTGCCTAGGCGTGTGCCTAAATTTTGCACTTTCTTTTTTTGCTTTTTGGAGCACACACTTTTTTTCCAATGTTGTTTCTTCATCCTTTTATGAGGCATTTTTTTTAAAAGATAATGAACTATAATTAGAATTATAAAATCATTTTTTATGTATGGATTAAGAATGTAAGACCATAGTGGGCTTGGTACAAAGGCCGCCCATAGAATTAGGACTTAGGAATGCGAGGTGCTTAACATTACATTAGCCATTTAAAGTAATGCCATTGGGAAGGAAATAGAGATTTGAAGTTTCACATGCTTAAATTGTTGAGTGCTTGAATATGTTTTATATGTTATGTTTGATTTTTTCTTTTTGCATCTTTACTTAGAATGTGTTTTATATTAATGTTTATGCATTTTAATCTGAGCCAGTAGGTTTTTTAACATTTAATTTAGAAGTGAAGCATGCAATTTAATTAATATTGTTTTTTATAATTTTGTGTTTTTTTTTGAATTTTTGAAAATTTTAAAAATTTTGTACCTTGCTTCGAAAAGATGCATGCCTCGTCTTGTGCCTTGAGTGCAAAAAATCCCTCTGTGGCTTTTTTACACCTTGTGCTTTTAAAACACTGGGTAATTCAACCAAACCCATCACCTTTTTACAACTCTCCTTTGAACTCTGATGTACATCCATTCAAGTTTAACCCTTGGAATCAACCTAAGCAAGTAGCTAAGATTTGTAGTAAAGCCCACCATATTATCTTTCGAGGTACTCTATCGTGTACGATATGGAGCACACACTTTTTTCTAATATTGTTTCTTCATCCTTCTTAATATGAGGCATTTTTTTAAAAGATAATGAACTATAATTAGAATTATAAAATCATTTTTTTATGTATGGATTAAAAATGTAAGACCATAGTGGGCTTGGTACAAAGGCCGCCCATAGAATTAGGACTTAGGAGTGCGAGGTGTTTAACATTACATTAGCCATTTAAAGTAATGTCATTGGGAAGGAAATAGAGATTTGAAGTTTCACATGCTTAAATTGTTGAGTGCTTGAATATGTTTTATATGTTTTGTTTGATTTTTTCTTTTTGCATCTTCACTTTGAATGTGTTTTGTATTAATGTTTATGCATTTTAATCTGAGCCAATAGGTTTTTTAACATTTAATTTAAAAGTGAAGCATGCAATTTAATTAATACTGCTTTTAATATTTTTGTGCTTTTTTTTTGCATTTTTGAAAATTTTAAAAATTTTGTACCTTGCTTCGAAAAGATGCATGCCTCGCCTTGTGCCTTGAGTGCAAAAATCCCTCTGTGGCTTTTTTACACCTTGTGCTTTTAAAACACTGGGTAATTCAACCAAACCGCATCACCTTTTTACAACTCTCCTTAGAACTCTGATGTACATCCATTCAAGTTTAACCCTGGGAATCAACCTAAGCAAGTAGCTAAGATTTGTAGTAAAGCCCACCATATTATCTTTCGAGGTACTCTATCATGTGCTTTTTCCAGATCAATAAATACTATATGAAGATCTCTCTCCTCTTGAAACTTTTCTATCAATTACCTTAGTAAAATGACAACTTTCATGGTTGATCTCCCAGGTAAAAAACCAAACTGGTTTTCCGTTATTTCATGTCGTAACTCTTTCTCAAAGTCTTATGGTCTGTCTCAAAAGTAAAATCATAGAGTTTAATTGGGCTGCAATGATTTATCCACTAGGTTTTTTTTTGTTCCACCTCTTTCACATGGTACAGTTTCTAGGAGCTCCTAATCATGCATTAGTTTGCTATTGCTTTTGCTTTCCTATTTGTTATCACAATGTTTTTTGAAGTGCAAATTAATTTTTCAATTACAAATTGTTAAAAGTGGAATCTTGAAACTCTACTCTTCATTTGTAGTTGGATTTTTTTGATAAAAATTATCAATCTGATACTGATCTCTGTGCCCTTTGTGAATTGTCTTATAAGAGGGTTTAATGCTTTTTGCAGGGTTTTTATTATGATGCATTTTATGGTGACCTAGGCTTGAATGAGGACTATTTCAAACAAATTGAATCAGGGGCAATGAAAGCAGTTGCGGTATTACTCAACCTTCTCCTTTAAAAGAAAAGAAAAGAAAAGAAAACTAGGTTTTATCTTGGGGTGCTCTTCCCAGCCTGGCCTGGTCTTGCTTTCAAATTCCTGGGCCTGGGCCTAGGTTTTGTGTCCAAACTCTGCCCAGGCCTGGAAATTTGTAGGCTGGGGTGCATGTACATCTGTGTGTCTGTCTATACTAACAAAGTTGAAAGTATCGGTACTTGATATGAAAAAGTTGTCTTATGTGTCTCAATCAAATGATTTTTTTTTTTTTGATTTGATAATTCGTCAGAGGTTATGATACAACCTCTTTTATTGTTTAAAACCACTGAAATAGTCTGAGCAAGAAGTGTATCGGTGACCCTGAAAATTGATATGTATCATACGATACACACTATATATTGCGATATTTTGAACCTTGTATATTTCATGAGACGGTAGTTTAGTCGTTATGAGAGCACACTTATAATTGCAAGGGTAGCTTAATTGTTATACTAGTTAGGGGTTTTAAGTGTAATTTATGTGCTTTATTATAAATGATGATGAAGGGGTACACCTAAGATCTTTTTGTGATCCTTTGGGATCCCAAACATTCTTCCACTTTCTTTCTCCTCCTCTTCTTTTATCCATTCTCCATGCCACAATCCTTTAAAAAACATAAAGTTTGTTTATTGGTATCAGTGCATCATCAATATTGGGTTCTGGTTATTGCTACTCTAGTCAGCTGCTGACATCATCATCATTGACCACTGATGTCAGCAGGTTGTATGGTTGGTAAGATCTTATATGGAGTCTTGATTTTAGAGGAAATTTGGTGCATGTTCATGGCTATTTGACCACATACTCCCTACCTATTCTTCTATCCTTTGACCAATATTATCTTATCAACCCTCATTATTAGCCTATTAAAAACATCCACAATAAGGGTAAAGAGAAAGGGAGACAAAAGGTCACCTTGTCTCCGTCCCCTCAAGGCTGGGAAGAAATCCTTAGCAGTCCCATTAACGAGAACAGAGTAATGGTGGGTCTGCAACAGCCCCAAATCCATCTACACCACCTCTCCCTAAAGCCACATTTCCTTACCACCTCTAGTAAAAAAAACAACCAATCTACTAGATCTTAGGCTTTCTCTAGATCTAATTTGCACATCAGACCCTTTCCTTTGGGCCTTCTCACAAACTCCACACATTGTTTGAGAATCTGATCTGTTATCTGCCTACCCTGAGTGAATGCCCCTTGAGAGTGTTGATAGAAAATTCTTTATTTATCATTAGGGATATGATCTTAGCAATGATCTTGTACAGGCTAGTGACCAGACTTGTATATTTAAAATCATTGGGATGACAAACTTCTGGTTTTTTGGGGACCAAGGTCTGGCAAGTAGCATCCTTGAGGAGATCCCAAGGATGCAAGTGCATGATTCTCAAGGGAGGTGCATGCTTTTAAGGTAACTGTCAGCTTCTCCATAATCTTTTACACCATTACACCACTCCAGATCTAGTCAGATATAATTCCAGGCTGCAGGAACACCAGATCTGTATTCTCACACACCCTAGAATAAGTAAATAAGGTCAAACATAGACTGACAGAAAATATGGCTTGGAGAAAATAGTCAGCACCTTGAATAGTCCACCAATTGAAGCAAAATAACCTTTTCTAGTTTGCAAATAATCATTGGTTCCACCCTAAAATGGTTCTATTTACAGACTGTAGGTTTACTAAACACACCAACAGAAAGCAATGGAACTGTACTTATTGCGATTTCCTAGATTTTCATAGAAGTAAATCCAGAAAAAATAATATAATAGCATCAAACCTCTATAAGAAACACACCAGAATACATATAAAACCAACCCTGACCAGATTCTAGGGTTTTTTTCGTTGCTTGACGTGAGCAACTGTCTTGCTTGCTGAAGTCAGATGTTGGTAGTGATGATGCCAGTGGCCCGCTGTTGTCTCAATGATCAGAGATCCCAACTGAGCTCTGTTACCAATTTGTGTTTGCTTGTGATGTTAGGAGATGATTGTAGAGAAAATTTAAGAAGGGATTGAAGAATGAGAAGATTAAGAGAGAATTGCAAGAGGCAAGAAGTTAAGGGTGTAGATTTCTCGTTAGTATTTAAACTAACAAGATTAAATTACAATATACTTAATTAACTTAAAAGGCAAAAAAACTGCCTTCTCAATACTTAGCTAGACTTCTTACTTCCCTTAATATGTGTCTATATTGTCATGCTCCTGGACTGTCATTTGTGACCCATCCAAGTACTACAACTCAATGTAAATAGATTTCAAAATATCAAATTTTGTTTGTAAGTTTTTGCATATGTGGTTCAAGTTGATAATGTAGCTTTTTGATGCTTATGCTTAAGCAAAATAGAATTGTGTGCCTCCTGTCTCATGCCATTTAGGTTAAATGATGATTATCATCTATAGTTACAAGGTTATTTCTGGGGTTGAAAAATATGCAAATTCTTGAAATATTTTAGCAAATTTGTTATATATTTAGGTATTTCTCACCTGATCTGCAAATTCTTGAACTAAAAATGACTTAGTTCAGCTGATCCATGAATTAACTCACTGAGTAGCCCAACAATCAAACTGCCAATTTTGTAATATTGAGGATTTTGTTTGTATCAGCTAAGCCCTGACCTGCTGTAGGATTCTTGATGTTTTGCTATTGTGCTCTATACTGCAGGAAAAACAGCCTTTTGAGCGTATTGAAGTATCAAGGAAACAAGCTTTAGAAATGTTTTCTGAAAATAATTTTAAGGTGAGTAATGCTTCATATTTAGATTTCCTTCATCTGTATTGTTGAATACCTTTTATATCTTGTTTCCTCCCTTTGCTTCCTACTTGGATGCCCTATTTTATAAATGTTCCATATTTAGAGTCTAACCTTTTTATGCAGATTGAAATCATTAATGAATTGCCAGAAGACAAGACGATCACTGTTTATAGATGCGGACCTTTGGTTGATTTGTGCCGTGGACCTCATATCCCAAACACATCTTTTGTAAAAGCATTTGCTTGTTTAAAGGTGATGAATGACCTGACATAATATATCTGGATATTTGAACTATTTGTATGAACAGATGTTGTTAATGTTAATTGTAAGTTGAAATCTCTAGGCTTCATCAGCCTATTGGAGGGGGAAGAAGGAACGAGAGAGTCTACAAAGAGTTTATGGGATATCTTATCCAGATTCCAAACGTCTGAAGGTATGTATTTAAACATCCAGTTTTCCTTAGCAAGTGTAATTAATTCTTTTAACTTTTATTGTATAGACTATGGATATTTTCTTTGAATGTGAAGATGGTCCCTTCCATATTTATATTTATATATGTATGGTGGACTACATGCTGGTAAACTATTGATAAGCTTTGACCATTAAATTTATAATTACCAGTTGAAAAAGAAAAGAGATAAAGTTAACATCAACCAACACGAGCCCTGCTGCTGTTCCTATTATTTTAGACCTTGATCCTATGTCTGTATCCTTCTGCAGGAATATCTCACTCAGCTGGAAGAAGCAAAGAAATATGACCACAGGTTATTGGGGGCAAAACAAGAGCTCTTCTTTTGTCACCCTCTTAGGTAATATGAGCCAAGCTCCAACATTAGTTTTTATTACTTTCAAGGACTTAAGATTGCTCACAACATCCATTGACTGCATTTCTTGTCATATTTCAGTCCAGGAAGTTGGTTCTTCCTGCCATATGGCACCCGAGTTTACAACAAATTAATGGAGTTCATTCGAACTCAATATAGGGAGAGAGGTTATCAAGAGGTTAGCTTTCTTTGTCTACACACACACACACTCATATATATATATATATATATATATATATATATTCCAATGTTGAGGAATTGGACCTGTCATGTTAATTCTCTTTGGCAGGTTTTGACTCCAAATATATACAATATGCAACTCTGGGAGACGTCTGGCCATGCTGCAAACTATAAAGAGAACATGTTTGTTTTTGAGGTTAGATTTTATGCCAGTTCCTTTTGATGCCAAGTCTAAGAGTTTGTGAACTTGTCATGATTTATCAATATTCATAACACATTCAGATGAAAGGAGAAATCTAATTGTGGAGGAAAAAATGAGCAGAGTGAAAATGAAAGACACACTGATAGAGTTTTACGACATGGATCTTGTTGACACTTAATGGCCACAGAAAGCACATGCTTGCAGATAGCCATTAAAAAAATAGTCCTATGTATCAAGCATTGGCAACTTAATGATTGAAACTTGAAAATCACTATTAACTTTTCTTGTATCATTTGTTACTTACTTTTTCTTGTTTTTGTCAGTGAGATGACTTGTGCTTCCTCTTTTTTCATCTACATGTTTCCATTATATGTTTTTTTTTTTTTTATCAGCAACAACTCAAATTTTATTACTTAGAAAAAGAGAAGTGAACAAGACAAAGGCAGCCTTGGCTACCACCAAGAAAATACAAAGACAATTTAATATTCAGTCTTACAACTTATGCAGATTGAAAAACAAGAATTTGGACTTAAGCCAATGAATTGTCCTGGACACTGCTTAATGTTTGAACATAGAGTTCGTTCATATAGAGGTGAGGTTCTCTGTTTAATTCATTCAATGACTTATTTTATTTTATTCTGTCAGTTCATTTCTTAGTTGTTCATTGCTTCTGTAGTTTGTAAACTAATTTATGCTGAATCCTATTTTTAGTTTGATTCTGTCTGACCTTATTAGTAAGAATTCAATAAATGCTGTTCATTTGAACACTGAAATTAATCTGTGTAAACAAGCAGAATGACATAGTTTGATGTCAAACATTTGAACTGAATTGATGTAGGATAGGGTTGGGAGACCTATATGGTTTAAGGAATGGTGGGCTAGATCACCTAGATTCAAGGGCAATGTGAATCTTCAGGGCTCAGATCTAATAAGGGTGATATCTCAAGCAAGAATATTTCTTATTGGAAAACTAAGGTCATGGGATGATAAGAGATAACTTTCAGATTTAGTATACTACTTTCAGGAAATTATGATGGCAGTGTTTAAGTTCAGAGAGAGAAGAAAGGAACATCATTCATAGTTGCAACTAAGACAAAAAAACACAATTTAAAACTTTTATTCCATCTTCAAGTCTATTTCAATAATTGCAATGTGATAAGGCCCAATCCCATAGTCACTTGAGGACTCCAACCCCTATCCCAGCAGCAGCTGTAGCCTCCAGGCCTTGATATAGTGAACTTCTCTCGATACTTAGGCCACCAATCCAGGTCACTTACAAAAGAACATGTCACTAGAATTAGTTGAGAATTCCAATATGTATTTCGTGACCCTATGTAAAATCAAGAAATGACAATCAATGGGCATCAAAAAATTTGTTTTCTCAAATTTCTCTCTCTCCATCCCTCTTAGAAGGAAGGGGTTCCCTCAAAGTGAATCCCTGAGGTGAGCAGTAATTCATCATTTGGTATTAGACTTGATCAGTTGATTGGTGCAACCACTCAAGAAGAAATTATCATCACCAAATCCTTAGCAGTGGAAGAGCATATGATTGGAGATCTGTAGGAGCTAAAGGAGATATCTATGGTGATGACTTGGTGTGAGTGGATCACTTTTTCAGAGTTCAGGCAATCAGGACAACAAGGATGAAGGCTCCAGTCAAGGTAGAAACAGTGTGCCAATCCTTCTTTCAGTAGATTGGCCAACTTGGTTTTTCCAATATTTGAGGTTATGATCCAATCTCTTGGATCTTTACAGCAAAAACATTTTTTTGAGTTTAGCGAGATTCGAAGCCAACAACGAATTTCAGTTGCCTCGATTTACCTAGAGGGAGAAGGTGTACTATGGTTCCAATGGTATTGGCATTCTCATCCTCAGTTATTGCGGCCATGCTTTATTGAGGCCTTGTGCACATGGCTTGGACCATTCAGCTTAAGACTCTGGTGAATCCTTGTCCAAACTTTTATTTTTTTGATAATTGAGAAATAATTTATTAATGATATATAATAAAAGTTACAAGCACCCCAAGGAGAGACACAAGGTGCAACCTCCCTTGAGAGTAAAGTGTTAAAGGCCAACAATGCAGTAGAAACAAGACATTACAACATTGCCCAGTACAGATGTTCCCTCAATACCCCTTGTTTAGCAAGATAATCAGCCAAAGCATTTGCTGACCTGCTCACCCAATGTGAGCTTACAGACATGTTATTTGTTAACCAGCTTGCCTTCTTTAGGATATCCATGTAGCACCACATGACTGAGCCTGGGTCTGTTAACCAGTCCACAACAATCTTAGAGTCTCCTTCAATTAGAAGATGCTCAACTTCTAATTGATTTGCAATCAGAATACCCCGTAGAGAGCCACCAATAGTTCTGGATCTGTTAACCAGCCCACAACAATCATAGAGTTTCCTTCGATTAGAAGATGCTCAACTTCTAATTGATTTGCAATCAGAATACCCTGTAGAGAGCCACCAATAGTTCAGCCCCGAGTCTCCTACTCCCATTGGACCAGAATATAAGGCTAAGATGTTGCTGTCCTTATCTCCCAAGACTCCTATGCCTGAAGGGCCGGGGTTTCCTTGACTGTTTCCATCAAAATTCAATTTAACCCAATCGTCAGGTGGTGGGGTTCAAATTACATTGAGCTTTTCCTTCCTGGAGGAATCCTTGTCCAAGCTTAGAAAGCTTAGATAGACTGGATCTGTGAGGGACTATCAAAAGGAGTTTAAACGGTTAAAATCTTGGGTTTTCAGTTGGACAAAGAAGGCTTTAGTAGGTTGTTTCATTGGAGGATTAAGGGAGGACATTCACATTGAGGTTAAGGCCTAACATCTGGTGGCTGTCTTGGCTGTGCCAAGTCTAGCTGGGAGGAGAGATGTAACCAAGAATCTCTTGTCAAACTGGACCAGTAAAGTTTCCTTTGAGACTGGATTCTGGTTCTAACCAATGTTTTAAAACACATGTGTTGTAGAAGAACTACTGAAGGGTAGTTTTGTAATTCTACTGTTCTGTACTTTATTTTTTCTTTCTTGTACTATAATAGGCGTGTACTTTAGTGTACATATCTTTTTATTCTCTTTGTAAGGACGGTCTTGTCTATTCACATAAGTTTAATATAAATACATCTTTTCTGGGTTGGTTCGATCAGATTGATCAACCCTAACAGATCTGGACTTTTGTCTTTCTCTCTGCTCTCTCTCTATTTCTCGAGATGACATGGTATCAGAGCAGGCTACTCTCTGATCCTTTTCTCCTCTCTTTGATTAGTGTGACATCTGTTATTACTGCCGATTGAATGTAGATTGTTTTGATCTATCCAGAGATCAGTTTTCTCTGTTTTGCGCATCCTAGGAGAGATTTTATTAGATCTCTCTCATACGACTTCAGTTTGCAGTGAGATTTGAAAGGAAGTGTCACCTAGGCCCTCTCATCATATTCTGAAAATATCATTGAGATCTGAGAAGATTTGAGAGAGATCTATACATCTTTTCTGGGCGGCTGCACCCAGACTTTCCTTTTCTGGATTGTGTATCGGGCGTATCGTATCAAAGAATTGATACGATACACTCTGTATCGGGCATGTCGTATCATATCTTTAGGTGCCCGATACACCTGTTTACAGGTGTTTTTGGGAACTTTATTAAATAATATATAAAAGTCTTAAAACTGAAATTAAAAAAAAACTAAAAAAATTAAAAGGCGTGTGGTTCGAAGTGTTTTGAACAATCTCTCTCTCTCTCTCTCTAAGGAGGAAGGGTTTCCCTCAAAGTGAATCTCTCAGGTGAGCGGTAAGTCATCACAATGAGATATTTTATTTATAGACTATGGGTTGGCCAGACTCTATATTCTTTTGTTGAATTTCTATCTATTTGGGAAATGTAAGGACATGTTTAATTTACTATTATGTTTTTTGAGAGAAAGGTAATGTATTGTATTCATTTATATGCTGTGAACATGTAAAAGTATAGAATGTAGAATGAGTCACTATACAGAAAATGCTGATAGGCTAAAGCACCTGGCCTGAAATGAAAGTTGAGCTTCACAAAAGCCAAGTATCAGTCTCAAGAAAAGATTGATGAGGGGTGTTCTTAAACAATTCTAATGCAGCCAGCCAGGAGTCAACAGACCCAACCATCCTTCTAGTAACTTCTTCAGTGGAGAAGCTCTTTCCTCAAGCATCTTCTGGTTTCTTTCCTGCCAATTGTACCATGAGACTGCTGCATGAATGGTGCTCCACAGTTTTCTTCTCCTTCTATTGAGACCCCCTACTCTCCAAGCCATCAAATGTTGTCTTAAAGATCTTTGGGCAGCACCAAGATTGAAGTATCGATACATTTTGAATTGTATCAGCAAAAATGTGTCAGATTTAGGAGTTGTTGGCATGTGGCATGGGTGGAATTGCACCTTTTTTGGTGCTGTTTGACCTAGTGATTGAAAAGGCATGCCTAGGCACACAGGCGAGGCACATTTCAACTTGTGCCTTGCCTAGGCCCAGGTACAACCACTTTAAATCTGGCACGTTTTGTACTTTTTCAAGCATGGGGTTGGGATGGGGGCTCCATCTATTTTCTCATATTGTTCATTTCATTCTTCCCAATGCAAGACATTTTTTTTTAAGATAAGGAACTAAAACTAAATTATAAAACCAACTTTTTAAGTAGGGTTTAAGAATTTAAGACCCTAGCATAGGACTTATTTGGGCTTGCCTCAAGTAGCTAGGTAAAAATGTCTCATAGATTTAGTAATGAAATTGGTAAGAAATAAAGTGCTTGAAAGTTTCACATGCTTAAATTGTTGAGTGCTTGAATATGTTTTATATGTCATATGTCATTTTATTTTTACAGTTTCACTTTGCATATGCTTTATGCATTTTAATTTTTTTTTTCAATAACAGATAACTTTATTAAAAACAAAGGGAACTAAGTACAAAGGAATTTTAAGCTCTCTTAACCCTCCACTGAGAGAAACATGAAGCACAATTATACAAAAGCCCAAAACAACACATCCCTATTCACCCCTTGCTTAACTCTCCCACTGAGAAACATGAAGCACAATTACACAAAAGCCCAAAACAATACATCCCTATTCACCCCTTGCTTAGCTAACCCATCAGCAAAGGAGTTAGCAGTTCTTTTGACCCAATTCAGATTAACTCCATATCTTTTGTCAACCACTTAAATTTCCTCTTTTCATTACTATGGTTGCAAAAACCAGTTAACTCATCCTTCAGCCAGTCCACCACCAACTTGGAGTTCCTTCAATAACCAATTTAGTAATGTTCAAATCCTTGGCTCTTTGTACACCTTGCAAAGCTGTCATAATCTCAGTGCAAAGAGAACCACCCTCTCCTATTTGACCAGAATAAAGAGCGATTATCTTTCCTTATTCCTTAAAACTCCCCCAATGCCAGAAGGCCCTGGGTTCCCAGTACTACTCACATCAAAATTCAATTTAATAAAGCCACTGGGAAGGGCCCAAACATGTAATGAAGGCACCACAATTGGAGCTGACAATGCAACCTCCTTACAATTTCTTAGCAAATCATCAGATGACAAGTCAATAAACAACTCCAAAGACTTGAGCCAGTGCACCACTCTAATGTGAATCACCTCCAAGACAGATCCTTAAATTCCTTTCTTCCCATATAGTCCAATAGCCAGCCCTTACACTTCTCCACACGATTGTCTCTGTTTTCATTAGTCATCTAAAAAAGTAGAGGCAAGCAAAATTTGCACATCTGGCAGGGGAGTCCATCTGCAGATAAACAAAGAAAAGAATCATTCGCAAATACATTTAGAAAAATGGCAAGAACTCAGTAAGTGATAACCATTCTTACCATCAACTTTGCACAGGGCACACCAATGAGGGGATAAACGTCGCTAGGACATTTTTTCTAGAGCAAGGGACAAGTGTTAATTCTTTGCAGGAGTGCTTCTCAATAAAAACCCCCAAGTGGAATAGGATTACACCAATCTTCCTTGAAAAACGAGGCAGAAATGAACAACCCAGAGGCTGAGAGAGTCCAAACCCTACTATTAGGTTTTGTAGGATCTAAGTAAACCCCATCAAGAATACCCAGAAGTGACAATAATACTATTTAACTCTGTATCCCTAATAGCCCTTCTCAACCCTTGAGCTATTAGGATTTTTAAAACATCTAGTTTAAAATTAAGTAAATATTTTTTAATTAATATTATTTCTAATATTTTTTCATTTTTTTTAAATTTGTTGTGCATTCTTATACATTCTTTTGAAAAATTAAAAAAATATTTGTGCCTTGCTTCAAAAAGTGCATGCCTTGTGCCTTGAGCAACATATTGGTGGCATATAGGTGTATTATCCAATACACCCATGGTTCCAGTGGTGTTTTGGCTGATATGGCAACATATTGGTGGCATATTCTGGACCTTCAGGAATTGGTGGGGTAATCAGGGAGGAAATGGAAATATTCTGCCCATGTTTTCAGGTCCTATTCAGAATGGAGGTGTGGTGAGATCAGAACTAATGGCAGCTGTGTATGGAGTGGAGAATGCTATAGAATTGGGGATTGACAGATTGGTTGTTGAAGGTAATTCCAAAATTGTTGTGGGCTGGATGAAAAAGGGGGAAGGAGTAGTTTGGCAGTTGAAGAATGAATTCAGGCACTTCAAGCCGGTTTCTAAAGACATGATAATCCAAATAAAGTGGGTTAGGACATCTGCAAATAGCATAGCGGATGAGTTAGCTAAACAAGGAATTCCGAGACAATCCATGTTTTGTAAAAATTGGAAGTGATTTTGGTCTTACTCCTTACCCACAACTCCTTGTTGTACTCCCTTTAATAATAATAAATCATTTTGTATTGCTGATAAAAAAATATAGGTGTGATGGTATCATTTTTTAAATTGTAGTTCAAATTCAATTACCTTAATTAATTATTAATGTCCATTAAAGTGGCCATAATGATATTTAGCACTCTATTTAGCATAGGTAACTTCATAACTAACTCTATTTAAGACTACTATCACATTAACTAATTCCATCGCATAATTAACTCAAAATAAATTCCATTTAGGTCTATTTAAAAGCACTCGTACATAACAATTGTATGYTATCGGAAGGTTTTAACCAGGTCACTTGTTTGAAATGTAAGTATCCTTACCACCAGATCACTTCAAAACATCTTGCTAAACTAGTCTAGATGAGCTTCCTTATTATATCCATGTGTTTCAGTTTAGTCCTATTAAAGCACAGAAAATTCATTTGCAGTTACCAAGTTTTGAATCTTGGTTATCCATTTAAGAGATTATAATTTTACTACTATGACATTTCACCAGTATTTGTTAAATTTAATTCATTTTAAATAGTGTATCTTTTGGGATACATGATTATTAAACTTGGTTATTTTCAAAGCTTTAATGAGATTTATGAAGTTATGCATGCATATTTTAATTATTCTACCTTTTTTCAACATTTTCTACGGTTATCTCAGTAGTTTACACTTCGCATAAAGTCATAGACTATTTAAATACATGTTTCCCTAGTGTATCCATGTGTATCTTAATTTTCCCACCATATCCATGACCGTTAGTATCCMAAGTGTATCCAGATACATCTCTTAAAATTGCATTTTCAATATTCTTTGCATTTCCAATAATTTATACAATGGGTAGCACCAACTAGAGTTATGAATTTTGCAGAAGTGAGAATACACCTCTTCACTGTTTTGTTTTCTGATTAGGTAACATTTCCAGAAAAGAGAAGTGAAGAAAGGAGGAGGCATACAATAAGCCTATTTTGAATGTATAATTCTTGGTTTTCTCCATAGTTATACTAAATAGTATATCTCTGCTGAAACACTATGAGCAATATTATCTTCTTCCTTCTTATTCTTTTTTAACATACCAGTACATGTGTACGTGCATTTGCACGTGGCAGTATCTCTAAGACAAAACTATTTATAATTTATGGTTGCTTTTTATAATTCATTTATCCAAAAATTAATTAAGGTATTAAGTGGGCAGCTTCTGAACAGTTATAATTCATGGTTCCAACACCCTGGCAGTTTTTGAACAGTTATAGGTGGGTAGTTTCTGAAGTGAGAGTAAAGGACATATATGCCCTCTTTATACCCGTTATATGCTTAGACAAAAGGGTAAAAAAAGTCCAATGAAAATTCCAGAAAAAAAAGGGCATTCAATCTTTTATAGGTAGTATAGATTTTTCTTTTTTTATTGATACCATTTGAGGAAATTAGGTTAATCCCTTGATGAAGGTGCAAGCTAACTAGTTCTTCGATTCTGGGAATCTTGTATTGATGTAACCCAAAACCTGGGATTGAACCTCACCTTGAGCATTATATGAATATTATATGTAAATTGAGAAACTTGTATTGATGTAACTAGCACAAAAACTTCTTGAAAACAATATAAAAGGTATTAAAGCATTGGGGAAATATGTTTAGATATATCATTGTAACATTTCATGTTGATATCCATGAAAAAGAAAATATTTTGTGGGAATAGTAGGAAGTGTGCTGCTTTTTTAACTATGCAAATAGTTTACTTTTAATATGATACTTAATTATGCTATTCATTCTGAATACTGAATGCATCACAAGTATGAAGCTGTGGCATGTTTATCTAGTGATTATAGGCAAGATATGGGGTAAGTCGTCCTTATATGACAATTCGCAATTTCTGTTTGTATATTAGCTCTGGGAATTTGTTGATGCCATATTTCAAGTTGTTTTTTTTGGTTCCAAACTTTCTTTTTTCAGTTCTTGTGTTTCTTCAACAACATACATCTTGACTGTTTGGGGATAATATTGTAGAATTACCACTTCGGTTGGCTGATTTTGGAGTTTTGCATCGCAATGAGGCTAGTGGTGCACTTACTGGTTTAACACGTGTCAGGAGATTTCAACAGGTACCTTTTCATCCATTTGCATTTTGATTAAAACATAATCAATGGAACTGGATTTCCTTTTATAGCCTTTTATTATACCTTATACATCTCTTTGGTTAATGACAAGAAAGGAAAATTTTAAGTTGATTCCATACATAAGATGATCTATCTCATTTGCAGGATGATGCACATATCTTCTGTACGGAATCACAGGTAAGTTCTTATTCATTGATATGAAGTGAATACTTCTTAACACATTTTACTTTCACTCTAAGTGTGACTATTTTTATCTACTCTATAATTACTTGTGCTTAACATTTTCAGATAAAAGATGAAGTTAGAAGTGTCTTGGAATTTATAAGTTACGCATATGGTATATTTGGGTTCACATTTGAGCTGGAGTTGTCAACGGTATAAGATTTCGGTCCTTGTTCTATTTTTGTTTATGTTGTATTAATTTGTGTTCAATTGCAGAAATATGATATGCAACTAGTTTTTATTTTTTATTTTGTGATCAATGAATTGTAAGATTTATTAAATCATAGCCAAAGATAATACAATTTAGGGAGAGGCACGAGATGCTACCTCCCCTCTAAGGAGGGGAGATGGAGGAAACCATCAACCCTTTAGTTAAAGAACAAAACAAAGGATAAAGAAAATTACAGAGAAGCCCAATACAAGGAAACCTGAGTAGCTCCTTGTTTAGCAAGATAATCAGCCAAGGCATTAACCGGTCTACCCAACCACTGAAATCTAACTGGCATGTCCCTCAATAGCCATTTGACCTTTTTTAAAATATCCTTAAAGTTCCCAAGTGACAGTACCTGGGTCTGCCAACCATCTTACTACCACCTTGGAATCTCCTTCAATTATTAAGTTCTGCACTCCAAGTTGATAAGCAATCTGTACCTACTGTGCCACAGCTAGGAGTTCAGCCCTCATAGAGTCTCCTATTCTCACTGGCCCCGAAAAAAAGGCAATGATGTTGCTGTTCTCATCTCTTAGTACACTACCAATCCTAGACGGTCGTAGATTACCCTGACTACTTTCGTCAAAGTTCAGCTTAACAAAACCCTCCATCGGAGGAGTCCAAGTTACCTGAACTCTAGGCTTCCTAGAGCAAGTGAGGGCAACTGCAGACCAATTTCTCATTAAATTCTCAAAGGAATAATCTTCAAAGAGCTTTAAGGATTTCAGCCATAAAATAGTTCTTGTAAAAATACACTCTTTGACCTCAAGAATGCTTCTTTCTTCTCCTGAAAAATTCTGGAATTTCTCTTTTCCCAAATAGTCCAAAGGAGAGCTACTCTTATACACTTCAACATAATTCTCCCTCTTCTTGTGGTCCACACAAATGTAGATGGGAAAAACAGCAAATTTACCTCAGTTGGCAAGTTCCACTTGCACTCAAACAAATCAAATACCCAATTCCAAATGGTTGTAGCAAAAGGACAAGAAATCAATAAGTGGTAACAGTCCTCATTTTGCGCTTTGCACAAAATACACCAGTTAGGGGATAAACACAAGAAAGGTTTTTTCTTCTGCAGGTTATTCATCATATTGATTTTACCATAGTAAACTTCTCAACAAAAACAATTATTTTTTGGGGGAATAGGCCTAGACCAAACTTCTTTAGCTGGGAAAGCCCAAGGAGAGGAATTGGAGCAAAGGGATTTAAAGAAATATGCACAAGTAAACGAGCCTTTCGGAGTCAAAGTCCAAATCCTTCTATCAGAATTGAGTGGGTCCAAGCAAACAGAATCAAGTGACGATAAGAGCTCAGAAGCTGATAAGGATTCTCATTCCTCAACCCTCTACGGAAGCCAAGGCCCCAATTTGTTGACAAAGGGGTATATGAGGACAAAATAAAGGAAGACACAGGTTCTTTTTTATAAAAGGAAATAGAGAAGAGAGAAGGGAACAGATCCTTAAGGGGCAAATTTCCCACCCAAGTGTTTTCCCAGAAAAGAGCACGAGTCCCAGAACAAGCATCATACCTTACAAAGCAGAGGAACTTTGGGAGGATGCCAAGAATTGCCTTCCAAGGTGTTGCAAGAGTTGCCTGTCTGGATACCCCTGCATCCCAACCATTTCCAGAACAGCCATGGATACTTGCCACCATTGCATGCCATAGCCTCTCCCTCTCTAAAGGCCATATCCACAACCACTTACCTAGAAGAGCTACATTCTTAAGAGCAATATTCCCTAATCCTAATCCTCCTTCCTCCTTACTTCGACTAACTATCTCCCACCTAATCAAATGATCTTTCTTCTCTTGCCCCGGCTCCCACAAGAAGTCCCTCATCATCTTCTCTATCCTCTTAGCTTCCCTAGTAAGAATCTTAAAGACAGACAAAAAGTAAACCGACAAATTAGCAAGTGTGGATTTGATCAAAGTCACTCTACCCCCCACAGAGATATAATTCTTTTTCCAGCTTGCCAACTTCTTTCCAAACTTTTCCACAACATGGATTCAAAAGCGGCTCTCCATATTGACTCCAACCACACAACTATTTTTAAAGTTGATTTTCAAATTCGAGGCCTTTTCAAATAAAATTAATTAAGTTCTTAAGGTTCCCAACCTTCCTCAAATCTCTCCCTTCACAAAAAATTATAGTATCATCTACAAACTGAAAGTGACTCACTGGCACACTATTTCTTCCTATTCTCCATCCACTCACTAACTCCTCCCTATCTGCTTTTGAAATCAATCTACTTAACCAATGTTTTAAAAACGAAAGGCGCAAGGGCCATTTTTCACTTGAGGCACAAGGCAAGGCACAYGCCTTTTTGAGGCAAGGCGCACAATTAAAAAAAAAAGCTAAAAAAATAAAAAAAAAATCCAAAAAAAATTATAAAACATAATATTAATAAAAATATAAAATTAAGTTTTACAAAACCTATTATCTAAAATTAAAATACATAAACATAATATGTAAAGCATATTCAAATGAGAATTTAAAAATGAAATCAAACATATAAAAATTTCCAGGCATATAAAACCCACAATCTCTTTTTTTCTCAATTACAATACTTCAAGTAGCTAATGTGACATATTATATTCCTAATTCTACGAGCTGCCTTTGTGCCACGCCCCTCGAGGCAAGCCCAAACAATTCCATGTTAGGGTCTTAAATTCTTAGTTTTCACACAAAAAATAATGATTTTATAGTTTTAATTGCTTTTAAGAAGATATTTTATTAGGATGAATGAATGGACAACATTACCAAAAAGGAGGTTCTTGAAACTCTGGAGCCGCTAGACTAAAAAAAAAGAAAGGAAAAAGACATTAAATTTTCAAAAGGCACACGCCTGGGCTAAGGGGCAAGGCGCACTAGGCGTATGCCTTTTGAATGGGATGCCCTAGGACCTGGGTGAGGCGCCTACCCTAAAATGTGCCTTGCCTGTGAGGCACACCTTTTAAATCACTATACTTAACACATCAGCATCAAGAGTGAATAGAAAGGGGGAGAGTGGATCACCTTGTCTTAGGCCCCTACATGTTGGGAAGAAGTCCTTAATTACTCCATTGACAAGGATAGAATAATGGCAAGAAGTGAGACAACCCTTAATCCACTTGCACCATCTTTCCCCAAACCCACACTTAGCACCTCTAAGAGGAAACTCCAGTCCACCAAATCATAGGCTTTTTCAAGATCCAATTTGTAGACAACGCCTTTTTTTACCTGATCTCTTCATCTCCTCCACACATTTGTTAGCTATCAAAATCTTATCTACTACTTGTTTGCCTTGTACAAAAGCACCTTGAGCTTGACTAGTTAGGGAGGGGAGTACCACTTTGGTCCTCAAGGATAAGACCTTCGCCAAAATTTTGTAAACACTAGTTACCAAGCTAATTGGTCTGAAGTCCTTAGGATGCTTAGTGACAGCCTTCTTGGGAACAAGAGCTACAAAAGTAGCATTAACTTCAAGGCTAACAATGTAATTATCTTCAAACTCCCTAAAAGTTAAAAATATGTAACTAGTTTCTTCTAAGCTAACTGCTCAGTTATTTGTTGGCTCACTGTGAAGCATGTGTTACATTGTGTCAAGGACCACATACTCTTTCTTTGTTCTTTTGCTAATCTCAAAATATTTAGGACATCAAAATTTGCAATTTATAGTGATAGAGACCAATTACCTAACTGGATGATCCTAACCCTCTTGGGTGGACTGCATTGCCTAGACAAAATTTTAATGATCAATTACCTTCTATCCCATTACTTCGTATCCAGGATGACTGTACTGTCATTGATGCTAGTGAAGAATTGGTATCCCCTCATTGTCTGTCCTTGAGGCTTTTGCTGACAGGGTGTGCCACCATGTTGTGGGTGGCCAATTTGGTAAGCTAGGTTACTCCATGAAGCCTTTCATATTTGATCATTGCTTGGCTTACCAAATGTTCAGGTAGATGAACCCACACTCATTGGAATCTATTTTTGTATGTGGTTTTTGTAAGTTTACAATTATTAATACATGCACTGAAAATTCAACTCAAGAAAGCCTTGGTCCTAACTATAAAGGGTTGGCTATCGAAGAATAAATAATGAATATTTCCAATATCTAGGATATATACAATGGCTACAATATTACAATATTTCAACCTATAATGTCTGATAGTTTGAAATTTGGAATAACTGATATTGTCACTGAGTGTTTTGAATGATGCATGTACATTTATTTAGATCCTAGAAAAGATATACAAACATGTATTGTAAGATGTGAACATTTACTATTAAATGCTTGTTTGTGTTTCATCTTCCCAATATATATTTGTAAGTAGGTGCTTCAGGTTCAACATTTTATAATCTGTATTTTAATTGTTTTATAATGTAGAGGCCAGAGAAGTACCTAGGAGAAATAGAAACATGGGAAAAAGCTGAGGCTGCTCTTACTGAAGCATTGAATGAGTTTGGTAAGCCATGGCAGGTAATGTTTCACTTGTTCTCCTCAACCCATCAAAATTGGTTTCTTTGTTTGAATTAAATAAAAATATTGGCTATTTGAAAAGTTATGGTAATATGATAATTTGATTTCTAACCTCCTAGATGTTTTTTTTTTTTTCCTTTTTAGCTTCTGCTGTTGTTTATCAGTGTTCCTATTTTTTTTCCTACTGAATGAACAACTGGGAAATTAGGTTCAGTTTCAAGTCTACCTCATAGATACTTGTACCATACCTTGCTTTTTTTTGTGTGTGTTTCACTAGTGTTCTGGGAAGGATGGTTTTGATCATATCTGATAGGTATTGAGATGTTTCTAAAATTGCAGCTAGGGCAGGTTAGCTTATGGCCTTTTTGTGATTATTCTTCTTTTTTATATCTGTATTTTCTCTCATTTTTATTACTTATGAGTTCTTATAGATCTAGTTATTAAAAAAACCATGTATGAAAAACTATAAATTTGTAGCAATTTATAATTATTATATTTTCAGTCCAAGAATCCATGATGGTATTGCAAACTTACAATTTATTTCCAAATTTATCTCTTGACAGTAAATCCGATTGAAGATTTGAAGATTACAGCAGAAGAGGAGAGAAGAGAAGTGAAGAGAAGAAGGAAGAAAGAAGGATTAGTGGCAATGGAACAGTGCTGGTGGCGCCAGCTTCGCTATAATATATAGGGTGAAAAAAATAAGAAGAGAAATGACCCTTGTGCCCCTACTAAGTAAAGTTACAATAACAGATAAAAATTAAAAAGTTTTAATCAGCCAAACAGAACCTAACAAAATAAAATCAAATATTTCAATACTCCCCCTCAAGTTGGAGCATAGATGTCAATCATGCCCAACTTGTCACACAAATCATTATGTCGCACATGATGAAGACCTTTGGTGCACACTTTTCCATTTACAAGTTTCTCTCTATAAAATGCTAGTCCACTTCAATGTGTTTTGTCCTAACATGGAGGACTAGCAATGTTTGAACCCCATCTGTTGAACTACTAAGTGGAACATACTAAACCAGGCCCGAGGAGATTGTTTTTGTCCATATAAAGATTTTTTTTAACTTGCACACTTTTTGTTCACTGCCTTTGGCACAAAAACCTGGAGGTTGGGTCATGTACACTTCCTCTTCTAAGTCACCGTTCAAGAAAGCATTTTTGATGTCCAATTGGTGAAGTTCCTAGTCAAGATTTGCTGCCAGTGAAAGGAGAATTCTGATAGAGTTCATCTTGGCTATTGGGGCAAAAGTCTCTACATAGTCCACTCCATATACTTGTGTAAAACCTTTTGCCACCAATCTGGCCTTGTACCTTTCAACAGTTCTATCGGCCTTGTGTTTCACTGTGAACACCCACTTGCACCCTACTGGTTCCTTTCCTTTAGGAAGATCCACCAACTCCCAAGTGCCATTTTTGTGTAATGCATCAATCTCTTCCTTCATTGCATCTGTCCATTTAGGTTTGGATAAAGCTTCTGCCACATTCTTAGGAACGGGGATACTGTCAACAAAGGAGAGAAATGCTCGATATGAAGATGAAATATGATCATAGGACACAAAGTGAGAGATAGGATGACTAGTGGTACAAGATCCAACACCCTTTCTCTTAGCAATAGGAACATCAAGATCATTAATGACAGGGGAATCAACATTAAGAGGAGCAAGTGTACTTGGCTGATGGGAAGGATCAACCTCCGGTGAAGTCGATGATGTTGGTTGCATAGTGTCAGGTTCCACAGCTCTTGAACTCTGCTGGCTTTTGTGGCAGCGAAGAAATACACGAAATGAAGGAGGGTCAGGTAGAGGAGGTAGTTGCGTTTGAGCCTGTTTCTCCTCAACCCTACTCTCCCCCTGAGGAGAAACCGAGAAGAAAGATTGATTCTCAAAGGACACGTCGATTGAGACATAGTACTTACGAGAGGTGGGATCATAGCAACGATACCCCTTTTGAGATAGAGGGTAACCAAGGAAGACACAAGGAATAGCATGAGGATCAAGTTTACCCCGAGTAGGTGACAAGTTATGAACAAAGCAACGACACCCAAAACACACATTGGAATGGGGAACAACGGAGCTGTAGGAAACAAAAGTTGATGTGTGGCCTTATACTCTAGTAACTGAGATGGCATACGATTGATGATGTACGTAGCACACAGAACAATATCCATCCAAAAGCGTTTCGATACATTCATATGGATTAACAAGCCACGAGCCACTTTAAGAAGACGGTTTTTTCTGTCAGCAACACTGTTTTGTTGGGGTGTCCTAGCACAAGAGCTTCATTGAAGTGATCCACACGAAGCAAAGAATTCCGTGAGATCACTATGTAAGTATTCCTTTGCATTGTTTGACTAGAAAATATGGATTTCAGTTTGGAACTGAGTGAACATCATGCGTTGAAAGACTTTCACAATTTTAGGCACTTTATCTCTAGATCGTATAGGGTAAACCCAGGCGTATCTAGAGTAATCATCAATCAAGGTAATGAAGTACTTATATCCAACCTCAGTAAGTAGAGTAACAGGGCCCCAAACATTAGAATAAACAATATGAAACAGAAATTCAGATCTTTTATTTCTCAAAGGAAAAGAGCTTCTACAATGTTTACTCAGTTGACATGTCTGGCACTGCAACTGACTCACTGACAAAGACTCGAACAACTTTGGAAACATAACTTTTAACGACTCAAAAGAAAGATGACCAAGACGACTGTGCCATAAATAGGCTTGACTCTCACTGGACGAACTCAAGGACTCTGTAGCCACAAGACTAGCTTTATTCTCCAACACGTAGAGACCATCCACCACGCTTCCTCTACCAATCGTCTCCCCCGAGGCCAGATCTTGAAACACACATGAAGACGGATAAAAAGTAACTAAACAGTTCAAGGAGTGAGTAATACTACTAATGGAAAGCAAATTTATAGGTAATTTAGGAACATGYAGTACATTAGAAAGGGTAAGGCCGAGTGGGAGAGATATGGTTCCTTGGCCGGCTATGGTGGAGAAAGAACCATTAGCTAGTCTCACCTTATCTCTCACAGAGAGAAGATTGTATGCTTGAAATAAATTTGACGTATCGGTCATGTGGTTTGAGGCTCAAGGGTCAATTACCTAAGGGGAATAAGAGGTATGAGATGACACATGGAAGGCAGTGGCAGTGTTACCTGATGTAGACGCAAAAGAGGTAGAAGGACTAGGACCAGAATCCATCTAGTGAGGAGTCCTACCATATAACTCCAAATGGTCATGTAAGGAGTTGATCTTTTCATTAGGGTCAGAACTAGGATGCCTTTCTTGAGTTACCATGGGACCAATCTCTTGAGATGCCATATTAGCTGAGTTATACTTTTTCTAATTCTGTCGGCTTGGTTTCTTGCCCTGATCAGTTGTTGACTTCTTACCCAAATCCTGTGCCCATTTAGGTTTTCCATGGAGATCCCAACATGTATCTCTGGTGTGTCTTGTCTTCTGGCAGTGAGTGCACCAAAGCTTACTCTTATCATCTGTTTTCTTCTGAGAGTCACCCTTCTTAAAACCACCTCCGACATTAGTATCTGAACTTCCCCGGACAACTAGGGTAACTGGCTCCCCCTTTGTACAATTCATCACATTTCTTCTACTCTTTTCTGACTGAACCAAGGCATAAACCTTCTGAACTGATGGCAAGTCTTTACTTTCCAAGATCTGCACCCTGATGGACTCATATGAAGGATGCAGCCCCAAGAGGAAGGCAAATACCCGTTGTTGAGATACAAGTGATTTGTATGTCTTTGCATCTTCATCACACTTCCACTTAACATTCTGATAGTGATAAAGTTCTTTCCATATCGATGTCAGATCTGAATAGTACATCGAGAGACTCCTTTCCCCCTGCTTGCAAGTGGACGATTCAGCTTGCAGTTGGTATATCTTGGCATAGTGTCTCTGCTCTGAATAGGTGGACTTTGCTTGTTCCCATATTTCACAAGCAGTTTCAGCCCACATAAAAGTTTTTCTAACTTGTGGCAGCATGGAAACCAAGAGCCATGACATCACCATACTATTTTCTTGGTCCCATCTATCATATTCATAACTTCCGCTCTTCGGATCCTTCACTTTCCCCTAGCAGTGATGTAGAGTTTTATTCCCTTAGACCATTCAAGGTAATTCAGACCATCAAAGGGAATAACAGCCATGGGGAAATTCATATCCATTTCCCCACTCACTCCATTTTGACTTCCAGAAATCCTTGAAGTAGCAGAATCTCAGAACAAAAGACTCCACACACAACAAGTGATCAGTCCACACACCAGTTTTTGGACTTAATCTGTGCACAAGACCAGCACCAATTTCCAAAAAAAAATATGACAGATCTGGTTTTCAGACCTGTACGGAATAACAGTCCCAGCCTACTAGTTTTCCAGAAGGTCTACAAGCATTAATCACAAGGGGAGATCCTTACACACAAGACATCAAGCCAACAAGTAGAGAAAACAGGTCATACGTGACCTACAGCCACCTTTCACAGGTACATGATCACACGATCCAAAACAAACAAAGGTAAAAAACCTCACAAGGGTTTGCTGACATTCAGTGGTTCAGATCCATTTGTTTTCCTCTTGGTACATGACCAAGGGAAGAAAGAAAAACAGAAAAAAAGGGCGGTACCAGTTGCAGATCTGATTCGATCAGCACAGATTTATTCCTCTGTTCCGCCCAGATTCAGCAGCTTGGAGAAGACACTTGATCGCCCAGATTCAATGGCCACGCTCTGGTACCATATTGACAGTAAATCCGATTGAAGATTACAGTAGAAGAGGAGAGAAGAGAAGAGAAGAGAAGAGAAGAGAAGAGAAGAGAAGAGAAGAGAAGGAAGAAAGGAGAAGGATTAGAGGCAATGGAACAGTGCTAGTGGCGCCAGCTTCATTATAATATATAGGGCGAAAAAAATAAGGGAAATGACCCTTGTGCCCCTACTAAGTAAAGTTACAATAACAGATTAAAATAAAAAAGCTTTAGTCACCCAAACAGACCCTAACAAAATAAAATCAATTATTTCAACATTATCCTAAGAAATTTCGCTTTAATAGCCAAATGATATCATCTTCGAATTGGTTTTCATACATAGAATCCAAGTTCCATTTAGGTTTCATGTATCTGTGATTAAGATATGTATAAATTGGTGCCTAGTTGTTAGTGAGGAATAATTTATTAATACTAGTAAGGGGTATTCCTGATTTATCACATTGTTTTTTTTCTGTAGAATTTGCTTGTTTTTGTTGMTTCTTTTTGCTTCCCTCTTTTATTATGGACCTCTTGTTTAGCTATTTAGGTATGTTATTTTTTACAGATAAATGAAGGAGATGGTGCATTTTATGGACCGAAGATCGATATTAGTGTTTTTGATGCCTTAAAGAGGAAATTCCAGTGCGCAACGCTACAAGTCAGTTTGAATGGCACACTGAAATTCGTTTTTACCGTTCTTTTACTAAGGACCATTTGATAACAACTGAAGTGGCTGAACTGAAGCTTAAGTTGGGTCGATTACTATTACCCTTGAATAAATTTATTACTTAACTAATTTATTCACTAAAAGACTGATTAATAAGTCATTCAATTCAGCAACTTCATCCAGTATTAAATGGCACTCTAAGTTATAAGTTGGGTACTTAATTGAACAAATTCATGTTGTTTGCAGCTGGACTTTCAACACCCTTGAATAATTTATTGCTTAACTAATTTATTCACTAAAAGACTGATTAATAAGTCATTCAATTCAGCAACTTCATCCAGTATTAAATGGCACCTTAAGTTATAAGTTGGGTACTTAATTGAACAAATTGATGTTGTTTGCAGCTGGACTTTCAGCTCCCTTCACGTTTCAACTTGTCTTATTCAGCAGAGGATGAGGCTAAGAGGGAGAGACCTGTTATGATACACAGGGCCATTCTTGGGTCTGTTGAGCGTATGTTTGCAATACTTTTGGAGCACTATAAAGGAAAATGGCCTTTTTGGCTTAGTCCACGCCAAGCAGTAGTTTGCCCTGTGTCAGAGAAATCTCAACCATATGCATTACAGGTATAAGTTGGTTGCATGTTTTCTTGTATTTTGTGACCTAAATCATATTTATCTCTACCAAAATAACTTTTATTATCTAGAATGGCGATAATCCACTATGTATGTATAACTACTTATTGTTTTTATACTTCTCTTATGAAATTTCAACTATCTGGTAATCGAGAAATGAGTATCCTTGTCTTCTGTTGCATCTCTGATCTTCTTGTGCACCTTGGTCAGTGAGGATTGCTACCACTTGCTAATCTCCTGCTCCTTTACCTTAGAGTTACGAGTTTGGCTTTTCTCGTTGTTTGGGTGCAGGTGGAATACGCTAGCGGAAGTAAGCATACTCTTTAACCCTTCTTTCTTCTCTTGGCCTAACAAAAGAGGATGGGTTATGTGGAGATGTGCCAGGGCAGCTTTGATTTGGACAATCTAGGAAGAAAGGAATGCTAGATCTTTAGWGAAAAGGAGAGTAGTCAAGAACTAATGGAATGTGTGCTGTGTAGGGTAATACATTGGTTAAAGATACTGGAGTTATTTCACAGTTTTTTTGGAAACGGTAGCTTCATTACCGTAAAATTAAGATACAATTGTCAACCCCTAAGATAGGAGTTGAGCCCAAGTAATTGAATTACAGAACTGCCAGACCATTAGCTGATCTTCTTTTCCACTTGAAGCCTGCATCAAGCTCCTTTGTTATATTGAGAATTTCCTGTATGGGCTGTTGATACATTCATGCTCCCAACTTGCCTGATTGCAACCAGTCCATTAACAATTTTGAATCTCCTTCTATCTCTACTTGGTGTAATCCCAATTGCATGTCATATTTTACACCTTGAAGCAGAGCCATCACTTCTACTCGCAATGAGTCTCCCCTCTATTGGCCTAGAAAACATAGCAATAATTCTCCCATCTCCATCTCTGAATATTCCCCCTATACCTGAAGGCCTTGGGTCACCTCTAGAGCTCCCATCAAAGTTCAACTTTATTCTTTGTTGTGTTGGAGGGGACCACTTTCCTGCACAATAGGTATTATAGATGTTGTAGCTGCCACCACTCCCCAATTCCTAAATATGTCCTCAGCTCAGAAATCATTAAACAAATCTAGAGTTTTCAACCGATGGATAGTCATAATGATTGTTCTTTATATAGTTGCCTCCTTGGATTTCTCCACTCCTTTGAAGATCCCATTATTTCTTTCTTCCAAGACTAACCAGAGTATAGCTACTCTTGTGTCTCTCCACATAACTCTACCACGCCTCTTTGGTTGCATGAAAAAAAAGCTTGGGTCAAAAAGGCTATCACATCCGGGGAGGTCTCCACCTGCAAACAAAGAGAGAAGAGAGCCAGGACCAAATAAAGTGCACAAAAGGACAAGATATTAATACGCATGCGATCGTCTCACCAGAACCCAAGCAGAGGCTACAAACATTGGGTGAAAGGCAGAAATTTGGCCTTTTCTTTGCAACACATCCATAGTATTGATTTTTTGATGAACCACCTCCCAACAAAAATCCCAAATTTTTTGGGGAATAGGGCTACACCATACCTCCTTTGATGGAAAGTTTCTTGCAAGGTTATTTGATTGAATGAGGACATTAAAGAAAGAGGAACAAGTGAAAACACCAGACATGAAAGGTTTCCAAATTCTACTATCCTCACAAGATTGATCTAGAAAGGTTGACCCTAAAAGGAAAACTAGTTCGTCCACCATTGCCTTTTCTGTCTCCCTTAAACCTCTCCTTAATCCCAAGTCCCAAGAATTATCAATAAAAACCAAAGAGATCACTTTTCTTTTACTTTTTGACAGTGAATAAATAGTAGGGAACCTATCCCTAAGGGGACTCTCTCCAACCCAAACATCTCCCCAGAACAACACTCTGTTTCTTGCACAAGTTTAATGCAAGGAAGGATGGAAGGCAAAATACCATGAATAGCTTTACCGGGAAAACATCAAGAAGCCCTAGGATCAACTCCTGCATCCCAACCATTGTCTACCAATCCATGTATGCTGCCAATCACTTTGTGTCATAGTCTATCCTGTTCCAACTATTAGACAGTGTATGCCCTTAGCTCAAATCAGCATGATGTACATTATGACATTTATTGTAAATGAATAAAGTACATATTTGATTCATGTTATTGGGGTGTGTTTCTATGTAATACCCTTAAACTAGACACATATAAGACTCGTGTTAGTTTAGAATCTACACAACTGTTGGATAGATCTAGGGAGATTTATCTTGCTAAGGCTGGCATTGATGTACTGCCAAGTTGGTTGGGGTGGCTTGTCTCAGCTGCCAGGGTGAGACCTGAGGTACATGCAGTGTGAGTTTTCTTGAAACCTTGAACCAAACCAAATTCCAACGTTGCCCTGCACCTTGGAGACAGATAGGCAAAATTGGAATGTTACACTTGACCCCTAGACTCGATTATGGTACTGCACTAGGTGTCAGATTAGACTGTCTTTGATGTGCCAATCAGTGAGATCCTTAGCAGGGGTCAAAACCTAGGTATGTTGGGATAGTCTGAGAATTCATCTGAGTGGGTGGTCATAGTGACAGGATGGGGGAATGCACTCTCTCTGATGGAAACCTAAACTGTTTGCAATGGATTTCAAATGTGTTTGAAATTTTATTTTACAAAATATATTTATATAGAGATATACATATATGTATATATATATATACTATGGTTTCAAAATGTTTGCAAAAGGTTTTAATTCCCGGGATCCATGTGAGTAGAGAATGCAGCACTGTACCATGCAGCTGATGGAGAGGTCATCTCTTGTCGGGCAGTGTTTGATCATTAAGGGCTGAGAGGCTAAGTGTAAGACCATTGAGAGTTATACCTAATGGGCTAATCTTGCATCTGCCCACAGTCATTGGGTCTTCATAAGATGGTTGGACCCAATGACCATTTAGTGTAAATGTTGGGCCCATTTAAGAGCCCATGGTGATGGACTCAGGGGTTCACTGTGTCTTACAATGAATTCGGCCAGGCCTTGTAACTAAGGCTGGGCTGAACCCATCTGGCTGATGTGTAGATCAATGATAGGGTCCCACGCTATACAAAGAGAGCCAAGTTAGCCAGCATTAAAAGGAAGTGAGACTGAAAGCTTAATGGGCCTAAAGCCCATTTCGAACTGGGTTAATTGGATTAATTAAATAGGGGCGAATCTGGGTATAGATCAGCAGATAAGGATAAGAGGATAACGCTTATCCACTTAAGGGTCCAAATCCAAATAGAGATTTGGATAAGGAAACTTCTAATTTGATTAAGAGTAGTTGATCTTGATCTGCAGATAAGATAAGGGATTATCCTTATCACTTAAAGAGTTCAAATCCAAATAAAGATTTGGATCAAGAAACTCCTAATCAGATTAGGAGATTATCTCTTTAAGGCTATATATAAAGAGAATGACGGATTTGAAAATACATACAGAAGAGAACACAATTTTACTTTTTTCACCTTCAGGTTTTTCTCCCTGCTCTTGCCGCCCTACCCTGTTCGATCTCTATTTCTTGGAACTGATCAAGATTTGATCTTGATATTGTTTCTTGCTAGAAGAAACAATTTTTAGGCTGTGCTCACTATCCCATTTGATTCTTGCTGAAGAATCAGAGGTTCTTGGTGAAGAAATTACCTATTGATCCTACCACATCCTAAGTTGTGCCATTTTCAGTAGAGGGAGGATTTGGTACACTCTTTGGGCATGAACACCTACGTTGGGAGGAGCATTTTTGCATGGATTCTGTATCAAGTATACTTCTCCCTAATCTTGGTTTCAGATTTGGTCTGGTTTGGTTACAAGAATGAACCTTGAAAATGCAGTTTTCTAAATTGGGAATACGATTCTCGGATGGGAGTGAAGAAATTTTTGAAATTTCGCCCAACCTTCTTGTAGGGTTCAGCCATCCATATGATGGATATCCCATCCCTTTAGTGGTATCAGAGCCAAGTTCAAGTCTTGAACCGAATTAGATCAGATCTGGATCTGCGCAAAAGGGTAGAAGGCGTTTTACCCGATTTGTGCAATTAGCGTTTTTTTCTGGAAATTGGTTCCCAGTTTATGGGCGAATGATCTGAAAAATAAATCTTTATTATTCTGTTATATTTATGGAATTGTTCTGTGAATGTTTCTTGAATTCTTGGGCTGCACGTGTGATGGAGATCGAATCTTTCTAGTGCCAAGATTTGCGCACCTTGCTATTTCTTTTCTATTTGATTTGGTCTGTAAATAATTTTTTTTAGACAAATTGTATAGGAATTTAATGTGATGTAATAATAGAAAAATTAGTTTTTTCTATTTTATTTTCATTTGGGGATTGCTGGAGTGCGTGACAGAGGAGAAGATTTCGCAGAAAGAAGTTATGTGATCTGGGATTTTGCAGATTTCGATTCTGCAATCTGCGATTAATTTTTCTTTGCAGGTTTGTAGGATGTCCAAGATTATCATAGTGCAGCCCTCTTATTTCATTTTCTTGATAATTTTGATTATCTGGACTTAATTTATTTTTCAGATCATTATTCTTGAATAAAATCTTGAAYTGGACACCAAAACTTGGGTCAATTTGTACCAGATTTGGTCCAAACTGGTTGGACCGAATTCTTGGTTCGATGGGGTTGGTTTTTTTGACCCAAATTCAATTTTGGCCAGAGGGTTGATGGCCCACTTCACGTTTTAATTCGGCCCACCTCTATAAAATCCAGTTTTAATATGTTAAAACTGCATCAGCTCTGATTCAGCCATATGGGCCAAACTGCTCTTTGCTATTCGGCCCATATACCTAGATAATGTTATTTGATGATGTTATGGGCTTTGTTGGGCTGATATTGATTTAACCTAATTAATTTAGGGTTTTATAGATGCTTAGATTGATTGGATCAATTTATTTCCTACATGAGATGTATGGATGTGTGATGTGCTGCGTACATGGGCCATAAGCACTTGGCCCATGTTAATTCGATAGTGGCTCTTTTGTACACCATGGCTGAATGCACATCATTGCCATGGT